ATGTTCAACAAATCATCAAAGAAAAAATTGAACAAAACGAGAAAAAAAGCTGGACAACAGAAGAGAGAAGAGAAAAAGTACGACCACATCAACATGAACTTAATGTCGTTATTATCAACTTAACGGAGACCTTAAAGTGTAAAATTAATAAAAACTATTTAAAAAATAGTCCCTTAATATATAAGTATATATAATAATATTTTTATTATTTTCTATAATCATAAAAAAGTGAATAAATGCGTACACATATTTTTACCAGTATATATATAAAAATTAAATATGTCTTTACTTCCTAAATTTTTATTTAAAATTGATTTTTTTTCAAATTTTAATATTTTAAACTATAAAACAAATAGATATAATTAATATAATCAAACTTTGTGAAAGAAAGTCTTTGAACAATCGATGTATCATATTGACGAAGTTTTTACACTAACAAGTTTCAATTCAAATATCAATTCATAACATAATACCATTTATCAAGTAAAAAAAATTAACATTATTAAATTAAAATAACTATATTTATTTATTTTTAAAATCTAACATTAAAATATATAAAATAAGGATTAATTCTAATTTTACGAAAACATATTAAATTCGATATATAATAATAATAATAATAATAATAATAATAATTACTGTAGGTAAATTTGTTAAACGGATTAATAATTTCATGGCCCACCTAATAAACTTGGGTCGGCTGGTACGATTCAACCCATGTTTATTTAGTCTGACCCAATGTGTAGTTAATTAATTGTTGAAGGTTACTTCCTACACCACCACACATTACTTTTTGTACCATTACATTTTTTTTTTAAATTCCAAAACTATCCTTTATATTTTAAAATATCCTATACCTCCTATTTTTTTCTTGAACGGATGTCGACATCCGTTGAAGAAAAAATTCTTCAACAGATGTCCCACATCTGTTTAGTGTTTTTTTTTAAGTTTTTAGTTTTTTTAAGTTTTTAAATTAGTATATAAATATTATTTTTTTAAATTATTACTTAATTATTTATAAATTAATTTTATTTTATTTAATAAAATAATTATTATAATTTAATTTATGTATTATTATTTTAAATAATAATTAAAATACTTTTTAAAAATTTATTAAAATGGATACGGATCATCCGTGAAGTTTTTTTCTTTTTAAAGTTTTTAGTTTTTTATTTTATTATATTTTAAATTAATATATAAATATTATTTAAATTTTTTAAAATTTTTATTTAATTAATTATAAATTAATTTTATTTTATTTAATAAAATAATTATTATTAATTTAATTTATGTATTATTATTTAAATAATAAAATAGTTTTTAAAAATTTTCTTAAAATTGATGTGGGCAACATCCAAGAAGTTTTTCCTTTTTAAATTTTTAGTTTTTAATTTATTATATTTTAAATTAATATATAAATATTATTTAATTAATTTAAAATTATTACTTAATTATTTATGAATTAATTTTATTTTATTTAATAAAATAATTATTATTAATTTAATTTATATATTATTATTTAAATAATAATCAAAATAGTTTTAAAAATTTTATTAAAACATGTGGCAATCCGTTAAAGGATGTCGCCACATCTGTTGAAGATTTTTTTTTTAAAATAAAAACAATAAATTAAAATATAAAATATGTGAACGAACGGATCGTTGAAGGTGAAACAAATGTTGATATCCGTTTTAGAAAAGGACAAAATTGATATGGAATGATGCAGGAAGCACTCGGTGGTGGTGGAAGGAGCAACTGCCTTAATTGTTTCTACGGGCCCACAATAGCAGAAAAAACAATCTCCAACACCCTTCATTGTTACACCACGGATATTTTGGAATACTCGTTTCGAAAGATATTGTATACATTCCCAAAAAAGTATATTTTTGAAATTATATTATGAAAAATTCATTTTAAAAACTTTCCGAAACATATAATTGGAAAGTTACTTTCATAGAAGATAAAATAGTTATTTTGAAAACTTAGGTGGTACACGAAAAAATTGTGGGGATATGGAGGTGCAGGAAGTAAAAAACCTTTCTTAAACGAATGTACTTTTAAAATTTAAATTATATCAATGAATCCTTTTAGTTTTAATATAATGATTTTATGCATAAATTATAATACATACATATGATCTAATAACATATTTTTATCATAATATATTATTTTTATAGAATATAATTATTATTTATAAATTAGTTGGTGTATACGTTTAAAAACCAGAAACCAGCTAATCTTATGTTAAAATATCAAATAAAAATAGTTTGATTCAATTTAAATTATAAGAGTTTTTCATCTAACATAAAACTGTTTTACAAATTACTTTTATTAATAGAAAAACATTTTGACAGTTGTGGTAATTATTGCGGCAACTATTTTTATTTACGTAATATAAATGGACACACATAAGTGTATAATAATATCCTATATTTATTAGTGATAATGAACCACATAAAATATAACCTGACTCATTTAAGGGCATAATTTTCTTATTTAATAAAAAAGTTCTAGGCTTAGACTGTTAAAAATACCTGTTTAATTACACTAAGCCTAAATTAAAAAACATATTAATCCAGATGCGGCGATTTGTATTTATTTAAATATATTAAAATTTATATGCATATTATATTTTGTTAAGCTTACGCTTTAGAACTATATTAACTTATTTGTATGTTGTACTTAGAAAAAGATTTCTAAGTAAATTAATAAAGTCGTCAGATTTTTTAAAAGGCCAAATCAGATAAAAAGGAAAAAGCCTTAACTAATTAATCAAACTAGACATTTAGTTTTTATACTATATTTATTTATGTTAAGTCTAACCTAATCTCTTATGTATATGTGTTTGTTTGTGCTGGTTAATAAGATTAGAACAAGTTTAAACAATGTTTTGTTTCTGACATTCAAGTTAACACGAGTTAACATATCTATATTTTTAAATAATAATTTTCATTTTCTTTCTTCCTCTTTATATTTGTCATGTTTGTATTGAATAATAATTAATCTTGAGCTAACTAATTACAAATTCCATCGAAATAATGCGTTTTATCCTAATCATGCATGGAAAAGAAAATTGTCATCATACACATTTCTTCCATTTCATTTCTGCATCTCTTTATTTCCCTTTTCATGGTTTTCATGAGAGCAAAAAAAAAAAAAACAGACCAAGTTTATATGACTAACAACTACATTCTGCATTAAGAAATCTAAAACAGAAACCGACAGAGAGAGACGAAACAGACACGTGGCAGGTGATTCTGACTCAGATGAAGCTAAAGATACACGTGGAGGGAATAATTAAGCATATCACAAACAGCATCATAAGAATAACAAAGGTTAAGGTAATCAAGTTACACAGTTACACACCTAATGGTAATCGGGTGGGTCCCTCAGGCGCCGGGCGCTGCATCCTTGACCTTGCTGTGCAAATAGCCACCGTATTCTCTGGCGTAGTCTTTGACGTGGCTGGCGGTGTCGTATATGCGGCTCCGGGCGTAGTCGACCCGGTCGGAACCGGGTGGGTGGAGGCCTCTGAAGTAGCGGTACGTCCAGGACAAGGCGGCGACAAGGGCCACCGCGAATCCACAGACGGAGAAGAAGCCCGCGGTGATGACGAACAAGATGATGGTGGCTGGAACCCAGACGGGGCTTGAGACAATGATTAGAGGCGTGAAAAAGATGAGGCCGAGAATGGCGCCTGTGAGGGTGAGCCCCGCCAGGAGGAGAAAGACGGAGGCGGTTACGAGAAGGGTGAAGATGCCGCCCAGGTGGGCAGAGTTGGGGCCCCGGTCTTGGAGCTTTTGGAGGAACGCGGCAGAGAGGGAGGGTCTCTGGGCCTGGGCTTGGGCCGGGCTTGGATATTGGTCCGCCATGCCTGAAGGTTTGAACGTTGTGTGTGTGTGAGAGAGAGAGACAGAGAGAGAGAGAGAGAGAGTGATCGAGGGAAAAGAGAGGTAATGAAGGAGAGGTGTGGTGTGAGATTGAGAAGGGCTATTATGGTGACATGCAAGAGGATACGTGTTGGATAATTGCATCACATTCAGACTTTTTCTTTTCTACTTTTTCTCCTACAACAATCTTCTCTTCCTCCCTTCCTCCCTCTTTCTCTAATACTACAATATTATTCATTTAAAATTTTCGATTACATATTTGTAAACATATACATGATTAATGAGAAATTATTTAAATTTTTGGTGAGGGACAATTAAAAATAATAATAACAATTATTAATTGATAATTAATGAGTTTGACTTAATTGTTATTATAAGGTTTATAAATCTAGGTTTGATACGAAGATAAAAGACGTATTTTTCATGATCTAATTCTTCTAAATATATTTTAGAAATATATATTTTACTTAAATATCATAGTGTTTTTGGAGGTCAACTCCTACCATATTAATGAATTTTGGAATAATAATTGGAAGAAGGAGACAATAAAGACTTGAAGCACCTAGAGGAGTCAGAGGAAAAACTTTTGAAAGCCACAACATAACAATTTCTGTGGGTCTCATCAAGAGCACCGTAGCAAATCTTTCCCTCCCTACCAACATATTTGCTGCTATATATTGGCCATTCAATTTAGTTTTACAAAAACCTCCTGAACAATAAAATATATAATAGCCTCATTACAATAATATTTGTAGTATAACTCGGTACTAAAGTTAGAAGATAATTTGTAATGACTTTTGCATAAGACAAAAGATAATTCAAATGACCCAATTAAAACAAAAGAAAAATAAAAGACTGATTTGAGATTTAAAAAAAAAAGAAAAACCTCTAAAATGAATAAACATATATATAAATTATAATATAATGTATTATAACTATTTAAAAATTGGGATACACATGTCAGTCATAATATAATATATAATAAATATTTAAAAAACACGCATGGATGTAATAATAATAATAATAATTAATAAATAAATTAAGTAGTTAATAAATAAAAATTGGATTCCCGCCTCCAGGGCAATGAAATAACGGCCAGAAACAGAACGTAATGACAACGCAACTTTTGAGGGAAAAAAATCCTTCAATTTCAAATGAACACAAACCCTAATTTCCCTTTTATATAACAAATTCCAAATCTTCAGTTAACTGAAACACACATTGCCTCGTTCATCCTCACATGGATTCAACTCGTGTCTCTCATAACCTTGGGGATCCCAAAATTCGTCAAGTTGGTTTCTTTGTTCCCGAATCCTCCACCACCGATTCCCACAAGATACTGTCGCCAAGTCATCTTCCCGTTCCGGAGATGCAGAATTCCGTCCATGGCCAAGTGACATCTCGGAGCTATGATCCCTCGGAAAACCGAAACCTTGAAACTGGCATTGGTACACATGAAATTCTCATTTATTTGTTCAATGTCTCTGTTGTTGTGCATGTATGATTCTTGAACTATACTCTAATTATTGATTATTGACGTGTTTTTTCTTTCATGTATTAGAAAAGAGGGAAGATGAAGAGATAGAGGTTATAAAATCAAGGTCAAAGCCGCTGAAAGAAAAAACTACCAAAGCGGAGAGGCGAGCCTTGCAAGAAGCACAGAGAGCTGCTAAAGCTGCTTCTTCTAACGGTTGATTAGGGTTTTCGGTGTTAATTACAATTTTTTCTCTCCCTTGTACTTTGAGCATGACTAAAATTATGAGTATAATTGATTAAATCATGGTCGTTAGTTTAAAGTTCAGATGGTATTTGTTGATTGATTACTTCTCTGCATACATTTTTTTCTAAACTATAAATTTTAACGTGTTATATTGAATTATTCTTGTTTTCATACTGGAATTTTAGAGTGATGTTGGATTATGAATCCTATTTTACAATGAAACTCGTGTAATTTTAGTCCGTGCTAGTGTGGTTTCTATGGAATTCTGCGTTATATAGTGCAGTTGCAGTACTCAGGAACTTGAATTACTTTGCATCCTTTTATATAGTTTGTGTACTTGTGCTTAGGCTTTTGGTCATTTTTCTTACAGTCGAGGGAAGTAAGGCTGTTGCTGGAACTGGTAGAGCTGCCTTGGGTAAAAGTACAAAGCAGTCTTCACAAAAGAAAGCTGGTCCTTCTTCTCCAGTGGCTGCTGATAAAAAAGCAGGAGATCGACCTTTGGATAAAGACAGGAAAAAGGATGCTCCTCATCCACGATTGCAATTTGATGATGAAAGCCGAATGGAAAAGGCTAGAAGGCGTGCAGTAGTCAATCCAACTGAATCTAGAACCAGAGTTGAATTATTTCAGCATTTGCCTCAATATGAACACGGGACTAAGCTTTCTAGTCTTGAATCAAAGTTTTTCCACCTTGATTTAGTTCACCCTTCTGTATTTGAGGTACTCTTTTGGAATTAATTCACATGAGGTCTACTTGTAGACCAGGACATTGTGATCTACAAAATTAATGCTGACAACTGTTTATTCATGATAGTTAATTATTTATGGTTGTATATATTTGCTCTGTTGTCCACTTGTCTCTTAATTATTGTCATTTCATATTGAATCTCACTACTTTTAATGCCTTGTTGTTTATTTTTTAAGACCTTGATGCTATCGAGTATTTAACTTAAACTGTATGTCCTTTGTTTGCATGCTTCAGATTATGTTAACCAATGTAAATACACCCAGTGTGCTGGGCATTCACTCTTCTTCCTTTGGATGAGAGTTCTCATCAAAATTCTCATTCAAACCATTTAATTTAATTTTTTTTTTTAGATTCTGTAGCCAGTGGTTTGTATACTGTCATGACTGGTTAGTATGTATGAGTCAGATTTGACGTGAAATTGTTTTTGGAGCTTTGAACAGCACATAGGTAGTTCTTCAATGTAAATGAGTTTTTTGTATGTATGAAAGTAAAGTCAAAACATAAATAGCAATTCNATTATTAATTTAATTTATATATTATTATTTAAATAATAATCAAAATAGTTTTAAAAATTTTATTAAAACATGTGGCAATCCGTTAAAGGATGTCGCCACATCTGTTGAAGATTTTTTTTTTAAAATAAAAACAATAAATTAAAATATAAAATATGTGAACGAACGGATCGTTGAAGGTGAAACAAATGTTGATATCCGTTTTAGAAAAGGACAAAATTGATATGGAATGATGCAGGAAGCACTCGGTGGTGGTGGAAGGAGCAACTGCCTTAATTGTTTCTACGGGCCCACAATAGCAGAAAAAACAATCTCCAACACCCTTCATTGTTACACCACGGATATTTTGGAATACTCGTTTCGAAAGATATTGTATACATTCCCAAAAAAGTATATTTTTGAAATTATATTATGAAAAATTCATTTTAAAAACTTTCCGAAACATATAATTGGAAAGTTACTTTCATAGAAGATAAAATAGTTATTTTGAAAACTTAGGTGGTACACGAAAAAATTGTGGGGATATGGAGGTGCAGGAAGTAAAAAACCTTTCTTAAACGAATGTACTTTTAAAATTTAAATTATATCAATGAATCCTTTTAGTTTTAATATAATGATTTTATGCATAAATTATAATACATACATATGATCTAATAACATATTTTTATCATAATATATTATTTTTATAGAATATAATTATTATTTATAAATTAGTTGGTGTATACGTTTAAAAACCAGAAACCAGCTAATCTTATGTTAAAATATCAAATAAAAATAGTTTGATTCAATTTAAATTATAAGAGTTTTTCATCTAACATAAAACTGTTTTACAAATTACTTTTATTAATAGAAAAACATTTTGACAGTTGTGGTAATTATTGCGGCAACTATTTTTATTTACGTAATATAAATGGACACACATAAGTGTATAATAATATCCTATATTTATTAGTGATAATGAACCACATAAAATATAACCTGACTCATTTAAGGGCATAATTTTCTTATTTAATAAAAAAGTTCTAGGCTTAGACTGTTAAAAATACCTGTTTAATTACACTAAGCCTAAATTAAAAAACATATTAATCCAGATGCGGCGATTTGTATTTATTTAAATATATTAAAATTTATATGCATATTATATTTTGTTAAGCTTACGCTTTAGAACTATATTAACTTATTTGTATGTTGTACTTAGAAAAAGATTTCTAAGTAAATTAATAAAGTCGTCAGATTTTTTAAAAGGCCAAATCAGATAAAAAGGAAAAAGCCTTAACTAATTAATCAAACTAGACATTTAGTTTTTATACTATATTTATTTATGTTAAGTCTAACCTAATCTCTTATGTATATGTGTTTGTTTGTGCTGGTTAATAAGATTAGAACAAGTTTAAACAATGTTTTGTTTCTGATATTCAAGTTAACACGAGTTAACATATCGATATTTTTAAATAATAATTTTCATTTTCTTTCTTCCTCTTTATATTTGTCATGTTTGTGTTGAATAATAATTAATCTTGAGCTAACTAATTACAAATTCCATCGAAATAATGCGTTTTATCCTAATCATGCATGGAAAAGAAAATTGTCATCATACACATTTCTTCCATTTCATTTCTGCATCTCTTTATTTCCCTTTTCATGGTTTTCATGAGAGCAAAAAAAAAAAAAACAGACCAAGTTTATATGACTAACAACTACATTCTGCATTAAGAAATCTAAAACAGAAACCGACAGAGAGAGACGAAACAGACACGTGGCAGGTGATTCTGACTCAGATGAAGCTAAAGATACACGTGGAGGGAATAATTAAGCATATCACAAACAGCATCATAAGAATAACAAAGGTTAAGGTAATCAAGTTACACAGTTACACACCTAATGGTAATCGGGTGGGTCCCTCAGGCGCCGGGCGCTGCATCCTTGACCTTGCTGTGCAAATAGCCACCGTATTCTCTGGCGTAGTCTTTGACGTGGCTGGCGGTGTCGTATATGCGGCTCCGGGCGTAGTCGACCCGGTCGGAACCGGGTGGGTGGAGGCCTCTGAAGTAGCGGTACGTCCAGGACAAGGCGGCGACAAGGGCCACCGCGAATCCACAGACGGAGAAGAAGCCCGCGGTGATGACGAACAAGATGATGGTGGCTGGAACCCAGACGGGGCTTGAGACAATGATTAGAGGCGTGAAAAAGATGAGGCCGAGAATGGCGCCTGTGAGGGTGAGCCCCGCCAGGAGGAGAAAGACGGAGGCGGTTACGAGAAGGGTGAAGATGCCGCCCAGGTGGGCAGAGTTGGGGCCCCGGTCTTGGAGCTTTTGGAGGAACGCGGCAGAGAGGGAGGGTCTCTGGGCCTGGGCTTGGGCCGGGCTTGGATATTGGTCCGCCATGCCTGAAGGTTTGAACGTTGTGTGTGTGTGAGAGAGAGAGACAGAGAGAGAGAGAGAGAGAGTGATCGAGGGAAAAGAGAGGTAATGAAGGAGAGGTGTGGTGTGAGATTGAGAAGGGCTATTATGGTGACATGCAAGAGGATACGTGTTGGATAATTGCATCACATTCAGACTTTTTCTTTTCTACTTTTTCTCCTACAACAATCTTCTCTTCCTCCCTTCCTCCCTCTTTCTCTAATACTACAATATTATTCATTTAAAATTTTCGATTACATATTTGTAAACATATACATGATTAATGAGAAATTATTTAAATTTTTGGTGAGGGACAATTAAAAATAATAATAACAATTATTAATTGATAATTAATGAGTTTGACTTAATTGTTATTATAAGGTTTATAAATCTAGGTTTGATACGAAGATAAAAGACGTATTTTTCATGATCTAATTCTTCTAAATATATTTTAGAAATATATATTTTACTTAAATATCATAGTGTTTTTGGAGGTCAACTCCTACCATATTAATGAATTTTGGAATAATAATTGGAAGAAGGAGACAATAAAGACTTGAAGCACCTAGAGGAGTCAGAGGAAAAACTTTTGAAAGCCACAACATAACAATTTCTGTGGGTCTCATCAAGAGCACCGTAGCAAATCTTTCCCTCCCTACCAACATATTTGCTGCTATATATTGGCCATTCAATTTAGTTTTACAAAAACCTCCTGAACAATAAAATATATAATAGCCTCATTACAATAATATTTGTAGTATAACTCGGTACTAAAGTTAGAAGATAATTTGTAATGACTTTTGCATAAGACAAAAGATAATTCAAATGACCCAATTAAAACAAAAGAAAAATAAAAGACTGATTTGAGATTTAAAAAAAAAAGAAAAACCTCTAAAATGAATAAACATATATATAAATTATAATATAATGTATTATAACTATTTAAAAATTGGGATACACATGTCAGTCATAATATAATATATAATAAATATTTAAAAAACACGCATGGATGTAATAATAATAATAATAATTAATAAATAAATTAAGTAGTTAATAAATAAAAATTGGATTCCCGCCTCCAGGGCAATGAAATAACGGCCAGAAACAGAACGTAATGACAACGCAACTTTTGAGGGAAAAAAATCCTTCAATTTCAAATGAACACAAACCCTAATTTCCCTTTTATATAACAAATTCCAAATCTTCAGTTAACTGAAACACACATTGCCTCGTTCATCCTCACATGGATTCAACTCGTGTCTCTCATAACCTTGGGGATCCCAAAATTCGTCAAGTTGGTTTCTTTGTTCCCGAATCCTCCACCACCGATTCCCACAAGATACTGTCGCCAAGTCATCTTCCCGTTCCGGAGATGCAGAATTCCGTCCATGGCCAAGTGACATCTCGGAGCTATGATCCCTCGGAAAACCGAAACCTTGAAACTGGCATTGGTACACATGAAATTCTCATTTATTTGTTCAATGTCTCTGTTGTTGTGCATGTATGATTCTTGAACTATACTCTAATTATTGATTATTGACGTGTTTTTTCTTTCATGTATTAGAAAAGAGGGAAGATGAAGAGATAGAGGTTATAAAATCAAGGTCAAAGCCGCTGAAAGAAAAAACTACCAAAGCGGAGAGGCGAGCCTTGCAAGAAGCACAGAGAGCTGCTAAAGCTGCTTCTTCTAACGGTTGATTAGGGTTTTCGGTGTTAATTACAATTTTTTCTCTCCCTTGTACTTTGAGCATGACTAAAATTATGAGTATAATTGATTAAATCATGGTCGTTAGTTTAAAGTTCAGATGGTATTTGTTGATTGATTACTTCTCTGCATACATTTTTTTCTAAACTATAAATTTTAACGTGTTATATTGAATTATTCTTGTTTTCATACTGGAATTTTAGAGTGATGTTGGATTATGAATCCTATTTTACAATGAAACTCGTGTAATTTTAGTCCGTGCTAGTGTGGTTTCTATGGAATTCTGCGTTATATAGTGCAGTTGCAGTACTCAGGAACTTGAATTACTTTGCATCCTTTTATATAGTTTGTGTACTTGTGCTTAGGCTTTTGGTCATTTTTCTTACAGTCGAGGGAAGTAAGGCTGTTGCTGGAACTGGTA